TTGTTTAACTGTTAAATAACTTCGTCCTTCGGGTACACTGTTGGTATGGTTTGTTGTTTAACTGTTAAATAACTTCGTTCTTCGGGTACACTGTTGGTATGGTTTGTTGTTTAACTGTTAAATAACTTCGTTTTTGAGATATTTTAACTGTGTTGGAACCACGCGTGCAACGAAGTGGGGAAGGGGCTCGAGCTCTTCCTTTAGCCAGAAACTTAAATTTGTGCAAAAATATATATATATATAATAGGAAAAAAGTCATATTTTGATAGCTAAATACTTGTCTCTAATCTGAACTACTTTAAAACAATAAGAAATACACTTATTTTTTGTCATTCGCTGAGTAACCCTTATAATATACACTGAAGGCATTTATCAACTATAATATATATATATATATATGTGTGTGTGTGTGTGTGTGTGTGTGTGTGTGTGAAAAAATGTAGAGGGGAGACCCAAAAATAATTCCTGGTTGTTTGCATCTTTAGAACCAAAAACCACTAGCGTTGTTAATAAATGAACCTTTTTAAAAAATATATTAGAAGCTTATTTCACTAACTTTCATGATGCTTTTCATTGATTAAATACGTAAATAATAAAGTCTGTTGCATAAAGAAACAATTTAATTTTGTCGAGGTTTTATAAGTACTTCGTCCCTCGTAATTGACATTTACATGAAGCATGCGTCAGTGTGACGAACTTCGGTAGGTCAATTTCTGATAGATAAAGTTACTGTAATTTTATTTATTACCAAGCCCGCAAAATTAAATAGTAAATTGTTGGATAATATAGTAGGAAACGATTTGATACGTGGTGTTATCAAACTTTAATAATTTGTGAAGTGTAAACCATAATTTTGTTAAGAAAACAGGCAATGAATAAAAATCAATATTTAAAGTCATCACTTTCATTTAAACTGTGAATAATGACGTATAAACGATAAAGGAAAAACTTTTTTTAGCATAATTATTATGTAGTAAAAACAACTTATTTTAGAATTTGGATAATAGATATAATTGATAAAGCGGAAACATTATTTTAGAACATATAAATAATGATTAATGAAGTAAAACAATTCTTTTAGTTCGTGCAAAATAACGGTGAAAACTGCATTTTTTTGCATGACCCATTTTATTCCAATATCAATTACTTTATATGTTTTTGTTAAGAAAACGTTAAACAGTCATAAAAACAAAAACACCGAGATTATTAACGACTTGTATTTGTTACTTTTCGTAGCAACTGATTGCAGGTTTATAATTTTCAGTCCCAACATATTAAATGTCCATCAAGTTCTGCTCCCACGCCGTTGGTTCAGCGGTAAGTCTGAGGGGTTATAAACCGAAAATGTGGTTTTTATTAGACGCGTACAGTGAGAAAAAGTACAAATAGGTTATTGTGTAGCATTGCGCCTAACAACAAACCATCGACTCCGTTAAAAGGCTGATCTTACATTGTCTTATATGACATCTATGTCTGCCTTACCTGAGTGAAGTTTCGAAGAATGATCATTATTATTTGATGTGCTGCGTTAGAAATGTGTTAAAATTAGTTGATATTTCAAAGTTGAGTAAATTATAATGTTTACTTACGTAGAAACTATAATTATAGTGTGGTTAAATACAGGTTTTAAGATTAATAAAATTGGAAAAGCTATAATGTAAGTAAAGAAAAATAATATATAAGTAATACTTTTGTGTAATGAACAATAAAGATGACAGTCAAATCCTATTAATTATTCAGAGCAGCTGGCAATTGGGGCTGTTCACTATAGTTGCCTTCCCTTTAGTCCACGATTTGAAATTTAAGGAAAATTTATGTATTAGTAAGATAGCGCCATACAACACTAAGAAAACTTGACAAAGATGCATCTTTTCCAAAGTTTATTGGGTTTATTTATTTAATTTTTTCCCTTGTGTTACATAGGCGTTGGAGTGGGGGCTGTCGCGCCCACATATTTTGAAATAAGGGTGGAGGTGTCTTTCCGCCCCCGCAGTTTCAGGGCCAAATCACAGAAACTGTCCATTACAATATTCAGTTACATGCATGAGAACGCATCATAAAAATTTCGTAGAAGGACCTAAAAAACACCCTACAACGCCTACCTTAAGATGGCCATTTCAACCCTCTTTTCAATTTTAGGTTTGCTCGGACGCCTATATTCTTATGTTTGTGTGTATGCATTAGTTATTGCAAACTTATGTTGTAACAGAGCCTGATAGTTAGGGCGTTCAACTCACTTTCTGAAGGTCGAATAATCGAAACTCGTCGCCCTTTCAACCGTGGAGGCATTATGACATGACGGTCAATCCCAAAGAGTATCCCAAGAGTTGGTGATGGGTGAATTTGACTGTCTGCCTTCCTCTTTGTATCTTACTTCAAAATTAGGAATGGATAGCACAGAAAGCCATCGTTTAGCTTTGCGCTAGCTAAATCCAACAAAACAAACAAACGTGTACTAAACATTAAATTGTTTTGCCCACAAAACCTGCCGATTTTTTTTCGTAACATGGTATGCCGTCAGAATAATTTCAAATATTCAACCAGCTAGAAAAGGTTCATTTGACTTTGTCCTC